TCAATAGCTCAAATTTATTTTTTAATAACAATTGAAGTGGATAGTGAAGGAAAAGTAGGGCAGAGAGCAGTCTGAATCCTGGTGAAAGAATGAGTTTTATGCTCAGCTGACATTTAATTTGTTCAAAGCCATTTCCTGTACCAGCTTACCCATTGTTTTTATTTTGAAGTTAACAAGAAGAGACCTGTCTTTATGTGCCCCTACCGAACCCTGGCTACTTCTCAGGCAGTAGGAGAAAGGGCAGGAGTAAAGGGGAAGTAAAATGGGTCCTCTGACTTCAATTTCTAGCAGGTAGTTCCCAGCCTCTAATCTGTGGAAGCTGAGCTCACTTGCCAGCTCTTCTTTTTGCTGGCTGTGACCTTGGGCAAATTATTTCACATCTTCGCAGTCAGTTTTCCCACTTATATGAAGGGGATAAGATGAGTATCTGCACATTGTTGTTGTTTCCAAGAATTAAATGAAATAATGTATGAAAAGTTCTTAGTATATGGTGTGGCATATATTAATTGCTCAACAAGCACTATTTTCTTGTTTGGTTAATATTACTATTATATGTATTAATCAGCTATTTTGTGGCATTATGATTTCATTCAAGCTTTTCAAAACTCCAAGTAAAAGAAATAGTTTCATTAATTAGAAAACATTTCCTATTACATGGGATGAGAGAAAAGTATGCTAGTTTCTTCTAGTCCCAAGAACATTAAATAACTTATGATTTCTAGTCCTGTTGAGTATCAGTCATTTAACTTGACAGTTGAATACAAATTATGGCTCAGACTCTGTGGGATGGTTTTAAATGAGTATATATATTTGGGTCTTTTGATGATTTTCTGTATTAATCTTTTAGATAATTGCTATGGTAGTTCTAAGGATACAGGAAAAGATTTTAAATTGTTCTGCCACAATTAATTCCCAATTTTTATCACTGGACTTTATTTCAATAATTTAAATAAAACCAGTAATCTAATGGTACAATGTTTGGTAGGTGTTTTTGTTTCTATAAGGATTTCTTGTAGGTTCTTGGTGCCAGTGCTTATAGGTAATATGTATTCAATCAGATATGTAACTATAAAATTTGACCCAAGAATTCCAGTTTTTGAAAAAAGCACTTTGTCTTACATGTTATCAAATTTCCTCTTCTGTACCCACACTTGCCTAGGTGCTGAGAGGGAAAAAAAGAAAACCTTTCTTCCTAGGGAATTAGTGAATAAACTCTCACCAAATCTATATAACCAGCTACAAGACACGGCTTGTCTATGGATCTTTTAACATCTCGCCAAACATTGATTATTCCTCACTCTAATATTCGTATAGTCCCCATTATATTTTCAATAACTTATGAACTCTGTAATTCCCTTTCACATGCTTTTACCATGTGATGTTCCCAAGGAGCCTCTAAAGTGGTTTGGTATCTGTCATTTTACAGATGAGAAGTTGGGGCCTAGAGAGTCTGAACAACTGACTGAGTCACTACTAAAGGGCAAGCTGAAATGAGAATTTAGCATGCCCATATCCAGGCCGGGTGGTACAATAAAAGGAGTCAGCTCCAGCGGCAAGTAGAGATAATGTCAAATCCTAACTTGACCACTGACTAGCCACATATTCTCACCAAGTAGTTAACTCCACTAGTCTCAGCTAACTCATCTCTAAAATTGGGGTCATAATCAATATTTCACAGGGTTCTTAGGTGAATTAAGTGTATGTGCAGTAATGAAGTACATGACACATAGTAAATGTCTCAGTGATATTTCTTTCCTCCCTACAATTTATCATTCACTCACTCTCTGTCACTCATTCTTTCCTCTGCATTTATATTCATAAATCTACTATGTGATTGATTCTAGGAGACAGTGTGGGATAATGAAAAAACAGAACCTAGATTGTGGAATCTGATAAACCTGGGTTGAACTCTCATCTATCGCTTATTAAGTCCCGCCCCTGGAAGCTCAGTTCCTTAGCTTCGTTGTCAGCAAGTAGAGACAATGATCCCAACCTCACAAGGGTGACATATGGATCAAATGAGAGAATGAATGCAAAGCAGCTACCATCTGGCTACCATAAGGGTTGCGCAGTGGTAATTTTCTATGCCCTCCCTTCATTCTGTAGAAATTAACGAAGTCAACATGCACATATTAAATGCTACTATGTGCTCCATATTCACTGTACCAGCAATGCTCAGTGTTAGAAAAATAGGCATTTGGTCAGTCGTGAATAGTATCTTCCAGCATTACTAGTTAGACTTATAAAGTTTATGGTTAATTTAGTTTTTCTGTAAATAGAAAAGTCCCCAAATTACTCTAAAGATGATGCCTCTCTGAGACAGGCCAGGGATGTCCAAGTGTCACACCTGTAATAGCATGTTCTTGTGTGTTCCTGAGACGGAGGCTTCACCAGGGTTCCAACATGGCACCAGCCTCCCTTTATAGCTGAGATGGAAAAGGTACATTCAACTTAAACCTCAGGGCTCCACCATGTAGCAGATTTTTACATTAGAGCAAAAGATGCTGAGCCAAAGAGCCCCTCAGCACAGGGCCCCTGGCCCTCTACACCCAGCTTTGATGATACACAAAAGAAGGCACAAGAGAGAGGCATAAAAATTCCAGAGCTGATGCAACAGTTCAGTCTCTCCACAAGCCCCATGTCTCTCTTTATGCCTATGCTTTATACTTTAACTACTTTATTTTAAAATATATGTTTCTATTGATTTCATAGAGAGGAAGGGAGGGGGGGAAAAAGACAGATCAACGATGAGAGTGAGTCATTGATTGGCTGCCCCCTGAAAGCCCCCTACTGGGGATCGAGCCCACAACCTGGGCATGTGCCCTGATGTGGAATCGAACCCAGCTGTGACCTCCTGGTTCATAGGTTGATGCTCAACCACTGCGCCACACCAGCTGGGCTATACTTTAACTACTTTAGTTGATCATCTCCATAGGCCCTGGCCTTGTCTCTTAATCTTTATTATGTTTGACAAAATTTAGGGGAAAAAATATAAAGAAAACTACCTCACATGAAACAGGAAACAAAAGCAGTTGGGGTTAAAAATGTCTAAAAAAGAAGAGAATAAGAACCATATAAAACAGACACCATAACCTAAAAACACATATCAGAGTTAGCAGAGAAGCTCTAGGAGCTGTGTACAGAATTTGATATTTTGTGTATTTGAGTTTGGGTTTGTAAAAGGCTGAATCTTTGGGGAATCCTTGACCTTCTTAGGAGGCATTCCAGGCGTGTGTGTGTGTGTGTGTGTGTGTGTGTGTGTGTGTGTGTGTGTGTGTAAGACTAGGTATTGTGGCGTCTTTTCTTTTTTTCTAGCATATTGTGGCACAATAAGTCTCTGAGTCCCCACGTGTGGTCACGAGCCCACCAGCCACCGTCATCATTGGGGAGGTGAGAGCCTGAACTTTCCCACGGCTGCAGAGGGCCTCAGAGGGAACCACCCCCTCTGGGGAAGCCGCATGGGAAGTGAAATCTTTCCTATCAGTCAGGTGTCTAGGGAGACGGGATTATAGGACTGCAGCACAGCCTGGGTTTTTCACAAGCCTGGTGTTTGAACTTGTGTTTGTTCCACAAACATCTCACAGGAAAGAATGATCCGGTTGTTAGAGCTGCTGACAGGGTGTAAGAACAAGCACACAGGCAAGGACTGAATTAGGCAAGACACCATTATTATGACAGGATCTTGTCGCTTTCAGGGGGCACAGTGCCCATAAAGTGCTTAGCCTGTCTACAAGACAATGGGGAATGACTGTATTTACCTCCTCTTGTCTTTCCCCACTTTCACCATTCTCTTTTCCACATTCTCAACCTAGTTTTTTTTTTAAAAATAGGTTCTAGAGGAGTCATCTGAAACCAGCTCCGTTGCAAAGGCCAGGGTAGTTCCCACCTTGATTTTATTCTATTGCTGAGTTAACATTTTAGGCATGTCTTCAGCAGCCCAGGGAGTTTCCCTCTTCCTATGGACTGTTAGTCTCCCTTTCTTCAAAACATCTCTGAAAATTTAATGATGAATCGTCTTAAAAACTCCAAGAACAATAGATGGATATAAGTTAGCACTTCAGAGGCAGGAATAAAATCCAAAACCTACTGCTCAAGTGGACGAGTTGTCTGTGTGTTCTGTGGGAACAAAACAAAAGCAACTGAACTCATTAAAATTGACCTCAGAATCTAAGAAAATGTTCCCTGTCCTTCACACCCCCAGACAGTCAGGGTCTCTTTTATCTTTCCATGGTGAATTTTGCCCAGGGAGCTTCCTCTTATCTTTACAGTTTCTCTAACCCTTTGCTTTCTTTTTAACTTTTCTGCCTCTGGTCCACATTCCTCCTATTTATCCCATCTCCCCACCTTTTGCTTTTTCTTGTTGGGTTTCTTTCATCTCTTCTTCACTCATTCCTTCTCCTTTAACAGACCTTACTATGAAACTAGATTATATTTTTAACTATTTATAAATAAATGTTATGTCCTCTATTCTTAATGTTTAATTCAAATGAATAGTACAGTCTTTAATTCTCTCTGCACTAATGATGCATTAATCACTTCTGTGTTAAGTTGTGGAAAAGACTTACAAGACTCAGACAGGTTAGAGTGATCGACAGCTTTAATATAAGCAGGTGGCATAGCACTGCCACAGGGGAGAAAGGTATGCATTGGAAGGGTCTGGGGATCTTGGGTTCCAGCTTCTCTGTCCTTCCACTGCTGGATTCCACAGAGCAAGCTTTGCATGCAGTTCTCAAATCACCACCAGTGTGCATGCAAGAAGCCTAAGCTCTGCTCATGGTGGGGTCTCTTACCGAGAGCTGGTCATGCAGGCACATTCCAGCTACCTGACCAGCCTCAGCTGTCAAAACCTTCAGCTTTACCAAAACCACCTGCTAGGCGTACATCCCATTATTTTCACTCATCAATGCTGACAGTCTGGTACATTCTGCCCCAAAACATCTCACAGGCCTGTGGTGGTGAAACATCTATATTTAGTTAGCGTATTTTAAAGTTTTGATCAGTACAGCACTAGGAAGCCTGTAGCTAAGCATTTGGTTAATTCAGACCTGCTGAGGTTGACCCCTAGGAGGTACTCTGTCTCTTAAAAACAAAATCCCACTAAATTGCTTTCCTATATATTGAAGCTGGAACTAAAATGGCCCTTTGCTGCGAGTGTAAAGTCAGTGTTTTCAGAATAGGTTTCCCCAAGCCCGACTTAAACAAAGTGGAAGGGGTGAGCCGCTGCCAGCGGGTCTGTCTCCCTCTGGCAGGCCTCCCTCTCCGCCCTCACCCTCCACTTCATCTCCAGGATGGCTCTCTCCACCTCCTCCACCGCTCGCTCCCTCCTCTCCACAGCCCTCTCCCGCCACTCCACTGCCCTCTCCCTCCTCAGAAGGTCCTTTTCTCTTTGGCTGGCCCACAGGGCCAGGGCCCCCACCTGCTCCAGCAGCCTGGCCCACTCGCCCTCGATGCCCACGGGGAGCCGGGGCCCTTGGGGCCTTAGGGCCTGGCGCTGCCCTGCCTGGCCGTGGCCACCCTTTTCCAGTTCCCCTCTGTGCATGCTCTTCAGGTGCTTCCACAGGGCTGTGGTGCCCACGTTCACCCCGGGGCCACGGCTCACCTGCCTGCCACACAGGCGGCAGGTGGCGTACTGGTTGGGGTGGTGCCCAGCACGAGCAGGGGCCAGGTGGAAGTACTCCCACGCCTCAGAGAACCGGCCGCCCTTGCTGTGGGGCGCCGGGGTGGGCACGGTGCTCACCAGAGGGCCCACCGGCTCCCCCGTCTCAGGGATCTCCGCCTCCTCCTTCACCTGACCGTCCCCTTTGGCCTTCATCCTGGTTCCCTCCTCTTCCCCCTCTTCCCGCCTCATACCGTCTCCTTTTCCACAGGTTTCTTTGAGCTAAAAGTCTCAGCTGGCCCAGGGCCAAGGCTAACGCGTAGGTGGAAGGGAGGCGCGGTAAGTCAGGGATTCACGGTAACGGGCCAAGGCCGGCCTCGCCGGGCCGCGTGATGTTCTCTCCTTTCTGCTTCCCTGGAGGGTCCGGGTGAGTCAGAGCCAAGCTAAATGGCCTCTGAGGCTCTCCCCTGTACATCCCCTCTGTGCCCCAGATACATACTGATCCCTCTGTGGCCTGGCCAGAAAGTCAAAACAAATTAGTGCAACAATTGCAAAGCTCGCCTGTGAACTCGGTGTTCTCCATCTACATCAAACAGCACTACAGTGTTTTCGAACGTTGAAAATTTTAGGTTTTCTCCCAGCTGCTTGCACCGTCTCTGTGCTCCCCGATACCTATGAAATGCGTTTGGAAGCAGGAGGAGCAGCCTCAGCGTCCAGGCTGCTCAGGGCGGCAGGTCTCTCTGGGCGTAAGTAGCAGCGAGCACAGACAGGTGCTGATGTGAAGGAGGCTCGTGCTTCCCAGGAACTGTTGCAACACGCAGTCAGAGGCTACAAAGCCTGCCAGGGTCCAGGTAATAAAGTTCTTAATGTGAGGTCAGCTTATCATTAGAGAAGTCCTCTGGGTCCGGAATTCTAAGCAATCCAAACAGCAGGCTTAGCTGTTTTCAGCAGGAGGAGCTGGCACGCACAGGGGAGAAACAGGTGGGACATAGCTCCACAGGCTCAGTGTCGCCCGGCGGTCCTGGGCAAGCAGCTCAGCAGGCTCCACGTTCCCAGGCACCATCACCTGCAAAGCCAATAGCTGATAAGACCTTCCTGACAGCAGCTTAGTCCAGGTGTTTGGCATCTTTACCCCATGTTAGAGATTAAAAGAATAAATGGCAAATTATATTACATTTTAAAAGCAGCCTGACCTCTGACTCCTTCCTTGGGTAATTTCTGGAGCGAATAAGAGCCTTATTTATCAAGCTTTGCAACCCCAAACAGTTGGGAAACACCCACCAACCGCAGCGGGTACTTACAGGCAAGAGAGGCTCTGGTCTTGTCGCCAGCAGCTCCGGGTGCAGGGTGAGTGCTCTGTGCGCCTTGAATAGTTGTTAGCTGACTCCTGCCCCGGGAGGAGGGCGCCTCCAGTTCCTGTTCCCTCCTACTTTCAGAGGAACCTTGTTTCCAAGTGGGTGTGTCCCTGCCTGTGAGTTTTTCTGCAACATAGACACAAATGCAAACTTTTTCTCCGCCCCTTCCAGCAGTAAAGAGATGTTCCTGGCAAGTGTCATGTAGTAAAACAGCAAATCCAGCACCTACGTGTCTTAGTTCTGTTTCCAGATGACTAGATCATCTGGCTTCTAAGCCAAGGAGATTTAAGGAGGAAAGTGGGCAGAGGAACCACATGCCTCAAGGGCAATCTGTGGTTTCAAATATTTTGTGAATTCCCCACTACTTCCCAACAGAGACCACCTGTAGAATCTGGTCTCATTTCTAACCTGTCCAAAAATGCAACTCTGTTCTCTTAAGTTATTGTCAGATTTCACTCTTCTTTGAACTCCTGCAGAACTGTCCAAATATATTTTGGCACTTATTAACAATTCTTTGTGCTATTGCTCCCGTGTTCCCCCGTGTTCCAGGTGGACTTAGAATAATGTGCTGGAGAAACCAATGATTTGGCTCGTCTCACAGAGGCAACAGGCACACAACAAGCAAATGATTTTACTTTAGAGCAGAGGAACGTCTCTGTGTGTGCTTGTATATGTGTGCTCAGAGACTTTTGTGCATATTTACTTCTTAATTTTTAAATTTAACATGTTTTCCTCTTACTCATTTGGGCCAAGTAGAAGTTCCCAAATAAGGACAGCTCAGTAAAACCATCTATGATGATGTTTCCCAAGATGTTTGGCTTCAACTTGAACTAGTTTAGTGTACAGTTTTTCAATTTTAGAGTGACAGGGAGGAGTTTCAGGACAAGAACCATATTCCTAAACACTATCTTGGGACACAATCTGGAGATGGTAGAGACTATTTCAGTCATTCCGTAAAATCTGAATTCAGAGAATCCACAAAAGTTAAATCTTTCAAACATTTTTATTAAGTGGACAAGAGAATTTTTTTCTTTTCTTTTAATATATCTTTATTGATTTCAGAGAATTTTTTTCAGTGAGACAGTACCTTTGTAAAATAATGGAACCCCCCACTTGTTACTGATATTACCCTATCATTGTCCTTGGGTGGGTTAAGTGAGCATGGAGGAAATGAATCATAAGGGTAGTTAAGGGTATTGGCATTTCCTATAACTCTTACATCTCTTCATGGACCTCCTGGAGATAATCACCAACCTTTGGCGTTTTATTGGTTTAAATAAACTGAATCCTTTTTCCTTTACTTAATAAGAATATATTTTAGGGGACGTGATTTTACTTCTGATTTTCTAGGGAAGGAAGTGAAGTGATTTCACACATCTACCTTCTTGGCACTGCACTTATCCCCAGTGTCAAGTGTTGAATGAGTGGGAAAACTGGATACGCAACAGACAGCTTCCTCTGAAAGTCCCATTATTTCCTTGAGATTTTTGTAGTGACATACTGAGGGATGTTACACTGCACCTCAGGAGGATCTCGCCAGAGAAATGTAACTTAGTATGCTTAAATTTGGTTTCTCAGCTCTGCAGGCCCACATTCTTTGGGCGAACTAGCCTGTGGGAAAATTGGCACCAAGTATCAAACACAGCTAACTATTCTTTATTAGCTAACTAGTATATTCATCAACTGGAAAATATTTGAGAATTAAGAACAGGGCTTGTTAATATGTAAAACTCTGCACATCCCTTGGTGAGAAAACAAGTAATTATAAATGGAATTATAATTTTGTAGTACCTCAGATAAAATAATGAGGATCCAGTATGTCTTGTTGGATATTTTCACCAGCTATTGAAGAAACCACCATCTTACAAAGAACAAACAAGGTGTTGAAAATAAAACACGAATTAACCCTACCTCTAAACTTTCTAGTTTTGTAACATAAACTACTTGTTCTTCTATTTCTATCTTATTTTAATACAATGTGATTTACTGGAAATATTTTGCACTGGGACTGAGGTAACATTGTTTCCAATTGTGCCATCAACTACATTCTACTCATTCTCCGCCACTCTGTCATTCTCTGCCTTGGTTTCCCCATCTGTCAAGCGGCAATAATAAGGTGTGTCCTACCTACCCTATTGTATTAAGATAATAACATGAAAAATGAATAGAAAAACTCTCTACAAGTCAAATTGAGATATTTATATTAAGGGGTTTGAGTGGTTGCTGCTACAAATAGTACTTTACATTATTTGGGGAATGGAAAAAACCAAAGTGTAGCATTTAGTCTAACAATATTCTTCTCAGGCCTCTGCCTATTACAGCTTCTTCTTTCTATCCTTTCTTTTCCACTTAGTTCTTTTTTATTCAGCATGGCTAGAGTTGTAATTTTCCTTTTTCAAAACCAAGAATTCGGGTTTGCAATGTTAGTATTGTCTTGGATTCTAGCCATTAATTTGTAACATCTTTATAAAGAGAAAGTCTACTTACAGTTCAGATTTTCACATTACCTCTTAAATGTAAACACTGCCTTGTTAAAAGTGAAGAAAATGTTTCCTGTGAGGGTTGGTGGAGATATAAGGGGAATTCGTTTCTTCTAAATTTGCAAATAATTCTCCCTGTGTCCTGCCTTTACCTTCAGAGAACATTTACCTGCTCACTGAGGAATGTATTTCCTACAGCAAATCTCACCTGGTTTGTAGACAGAAGGTTTCCTCAAAGTGAAAGAGAAGGTAAGGAAATTGTTCAATGGAAATGGGTTTGGCAAAGAAAGAAAACAAAGGACAATAGAAATAGTGGTTGCCTAAGTTTATCTTGGCATTTAAGAACAATTCTTATTCCAAGAAAAACATCATCTTGCCAAACAGATGCCATTTCCTGATGATAGCTCATCTGGCTCCTCCAAGAGAATGGGGGTAACATTTCCCAGAATGTGAGGAATACAGTTGGCTTCATCAACTTACATATAAACACTAATGTTTTATTTCCCTGTTAGTAAAAGCAGATCTCTTATATGAGAGCAAAAAAGTTTAATTCAGCATACATTTATTAATAATTTCATTTAGTTCAATTAACTTAGCACCACTGCTGTAAGTCAGTAAACAAATGATTTGTACATTTTCTTGTAAGGACCTGGGTGGAATGGGAGTTGGGGGAACTGGAGGAAGTGCACGTAGAGGATTTGGCTCTGTGACAAGGAACATGCTCACCCAAAGGATTAAACGTTCCTGGAGTAGGAACACACATTGAAACACTCAGGTGAGACTGCACAAAGCCATATTTTTCATAGGTGATAAACATGACCCCCTCCGTCAGAACAATCCCAGTCATCCCCTGCCTGGGACAACAGCCCTTCTCCTTTCTCCTGAGTCATTTTCCCTCAAAGCACAATGTATTTTCAACAGTAACTCAATCATATAGTGCTTACTGCATTATTAGCTTTAATGGATACAATTAAAAGTTTATGCTGATGAATGATTGCGTTAATTCACTTGATTCGTTTTGAGACTACCATTGGTTTTGTTATTAGTTTGCTTTAAAAACAGCTCACCCACAATAATAACAGAATGCAATCCTGATATCTGTTAAGTATCATTATAGATATGACCTCCTGTTAAATATGCCACGATTTGATGTGCCCATTGTTACCCAACTAAAGGGGTTAGTTTGCCTACATGCATCAAAGTCCAGTAAGACATGAATGGTAGTTTACAGCAAAGAAAGTGCAGTAAAGGTTAATTTAGGGAATTGGTGCCAAGCCCAGAGGCACAGGTGAGCCAGTACTCTAAGACCTGGCTCTCCAGTGGCCTCTGGGTGATAGATTTTATAGGGGAAGAAATGGTTAGTCATTGGTAGCCAAGGGAGTTGGGGTCATGGGCTCTACTGATTCTTCAGAGCTAG